CACCCACGGAGTGGGCCAGAGCCAAAACATAATATTAATTAAAATTATGAATCCTTCAAGGGTTATATAAGTAACAAAAGAGGCGAAGGGCAATAATTGAATTTCACCCTTCGCCAATATTCACCCTTCGCACACACACACGGCTTAATTATTCTTATCTTTTATTTTTTTGGCTCTATAACTTGCATAATTTATTTAGGCGAAGGGGCGAAGGGTGAAATTCTATTTTCATATTCTATTTTATATACCTCATAAAGTAACAAAATTATAATATTATCCCAAAAATTGAATTTCACCCTTCGCCCCTTCGCCTAACGTCTATATATCCTCTTTTTACCCTTCTTTTACCCTTGTATCCAGCTAAAACATGGCAAAGGGTCCCCTTCGCTTCTCCCTTCGCCACCCCTTCGCCTCCCTTCGCCACCCTTCGCCACCCTTCGCCACCCTTTGCCAAACTATCCCCACTCTATTATAATGTTATATATTATATATTATCTATTATTTTTCTCCTTTTTATTAAAACCCCTTTATCATTACGCTTCCAGCAACCATTATTATACTAAATTATATTCTTTTTTTTATTATTATCTATCTTTCTTTATTATAAATGTCTTGTGACAATAGATATCAAAATTTATATCAGTATGTCGGCACTACTAATAACACAACTCTCACGCCTATTTTTAATAAAATAAATTCAAATATCAATGTCTTGTATAGCAATGTAGATATCCTTAATCATCAGACATCCGAACTATTTCAGAAGACTAATGATCTAGAAATTATCACCATTGAAACAAGTAATAACTTGATAGAAACTAATGATTTACTACTTATTACTAGTAATAATTTAATTGAAACAAGCAATATATTATTTAACACATCAAATTTTGTTCTAGATCTGCAATCTCTTATCAAATATAATGCTGATACCAATGAAACCATTATAACAAACAACAATAAAAATATATTATATGTCAAATATCAGACTAACCCTAATAAATATATCATTAAATTCACACTTGAAAACGGCTCGTTTATTACAATTCAACAGATTAAACAACAATTAGATGATTTAAACAACAATGCTGCCGCGCAAGAAACCAAACACAAAAACATAAAAAATATATGGAGTCATTGCTTGAATAAAAAGCGCAATATGTTAATTTCTTATTTTTTTATTTATCAAATTCAAGCATAAATTTTAAATTTGACAATACTTTCTTATGTTTGTCGCTATTCACATGTGCCTTAAATTCATCCTTTGATGGTGTTTTATCAAATTGATGATCACACACGGGGCATTTATTATTGCTTTTGATATCTCCAACTTTTAATTTAATTGCTTTATCATATCTTTCTTTGTTTGTCATTTTCTTTTGTTTAGGTCCAACACTCGCTTTATCCTTGTATTGCTGATTTGCATTGATAAGTTTCTTAGGTTTGACTGGTTTTTCATATTGTTTATTTGGCAACTTGCCGTCATAAGTTTTTAGATCTTGCATTATACCTTTGACTTTATCATATTCCTTCGATCCTTTCTTGACAACACACCAAGTGCCAGAATGACCTTTATTGAACTCTTTCAGCGCTTGAATCCATGTGTTGCCTTTTCTAGTACTCATTTATAATAAAGAAAGATAGATAATAATAAAAAAAAGAATATAATTTAGTATAATAATGGTTGCTGGAAGCGTAATGATAAAGGGGTTTTAATAAAAAGGAGAAAAATAATAGATAATATATAATATATAACATTATAATAGAGTGGGGATAGTTTGGCAAAGGGTGGCGAAGGGTGGCGAAGGGTGGCGAAGGGAGGCGAAGGGGTGGCGAAGGGAGAAGCGAAGGGGACCCTTTGCCATGTTTTAGCTGGATACAAGGGTAAAAGAAGGGTAAAAAGAGGATATATAGACGTTAGGCGAAGGGGCGAAGGGTGAAATTCAATTTTTTGGGGATAACTGATGCTGCCGCAACTTGTTGCAGTTCACAGTGACAGTCCGATTGTTGACTCGGAGGCCTGCGGAGCCCCCCGCCCGGCGGCGCGGCGCATGACGGCATGAGCCAAAAAAATAAAAGATAAGAATAATTAAGCCGTGTGTGTGTGCGAAGGGTGAATATTGGCGAAGGGTGAAATTCAATTATTGCCCTTCGCCTCTTTTGTTACTTATATAACCCTTGAAGGATTCATAATTTTAATTAATATTATGTTTTGGCTCTGGCCCACTCCGTGGGTGCGCTCGTTTGTTTTTGTTATTTTGTGTAATAATTGGCACGAATGCGCAGCTATTATTTCAATTGAATAAAATATGATAGGGATTTGGTAAGGAAAACAAAGAGCAATGAACAGATTTTTTGATTGAATATAAAAATCATTGAAATTATAAATTGATTTATAAAAACAGATAAAAATAATGATTTATTCGCAAAACAGATAAAAATTATGATTTATTCGCAAAAAGTTGTCTCCTCACGTTTCATTACAATTAAGTGCATGCGCTTCCGATGCTGCCCCCCGGCTGTAGCTCATGAGTGGGATGAAAGTTGTTGGCGTGCTCAGTGCACCGGGATCATCCTAAACACCTGGCACATTTCCCCGGCCATCGTTTCGGTCAGTCAGTGATTCACAATTGGCATCAGCTTCTTCAATTCGCCGGCTCTTACCAGCAATCTAGAGAAATCGCGCCGCCACAAGAAGTGGTCGTCAAATAAGAGTCTGAACACAAACATCATCAAACCTGAAATCGGCTATCAGTTAGCCAGTAATTTACCGGCACAATTGGCACACAAACATCATTGAAACCTGAAATCGGCTATCAATTAGCCAGTAATTTATCTGGCGATACCGGGACTGTATCCGAGGGACAGTCCGATCAGTGTCTTTGCCTCGACCGTCCGATTGGCCTTGCCAGTTGAGTGCTGAAACTTGAACAACTTGAATCTCAAGTGGGAGTTTACAGATGATGAAAGTTTTAACGGTGGTTCATGCGGCCATTACCATGATTGAATAATCGTTTGACATGACCCATAGGACCGTTCGAGTGACCGGCGGTGTCACAGGGGGCACTGCCAGTGAACTTCGGAACTCGGAATATGATAATCATGTGCCGATCGTCAATATGCTACTGAGTACGGTCACCTCACTGTGTCAGTATGAGTAAGGCGGCCCTCCTCGGCGGAGAGCGGCAATGACCCTCCATGCGGCAGCAGTGCGGTCACTGCTCAGTAAGTTGCAGCCGGGGCCCGCCCCGGGCCGGGCCCGGGCCGGGGCCCCGGCGGGGGCCAATCGCGGCCCGGCCGCCGGCACTGCCCGCAGCCCGGCCCGGCTGAGGAAGTTGAAACTGAGACGGTCCGCCGGGCGCCCGCCGGGCCGGCCCGCAGGTCTCACCGTGCCAGACCGTACGGTCAACCTTCAAGTCGTACTAACCGTTGAACGGTTGAACCCGGCGTCACGGTGCCGTGGCCGCCGGGACTCCTGAGGCGGCCGCGTGATCGGAAGTTTCAAGTTTGATCGAATCGCACGCGCCGCGGCACCCAGTGGCACGGTCAGTCGTACCGGCCCGGGCCGTACCGTGATGACTCACAGTGATGTCCAGGCCCGGGCTTCCCGGCAGGGCCGCACTAGTACGGTCGGACCCTACAAAGTTTTCTCAGCCCCTCAACTGAGTCGTGGGAAACGTGGTACTGAGAAGACTCCCGATGAGGGCGTGAAGAGATTTCTTCTAAATCGAGGGACTCCCGGATGAGGTGGAGGCTGGCCCCCGCGGAGATCTGAGGGGCCCGTGAATGTTGGGGCCGTGACTGTATAAATCAGATTATCCAGCTTCGATTTGTTGAGCGGAGGGATCAAGCTGAGCCGCTTCCGAGTTCCGTGCCGCTTGCTTGGGAAGGGGAAGAGGATCATGATCAGCGAGTCGTTGAAGCCTGGCCGCTCCGATGCCGCTGATCGGATCGGACCGGGCGGCAAGGGCTGCCGCTGAGTGCAGTGCCGCGGCTAAGAGCCTGACTCAGTCACCGTCACTGTCAGGGCACCGCCTCCCGGGCCGGCCGACGGGGCCCCGGGAGTCCACTCCCGGCGGCCTCTCCGGTGGCAGGCTCCGGGCCCTCCCCGCCGGCCCGGGCTGGCCGACCGGCAACATGACAGAAAAAAAACCCCACGAACTCAGATGTAAATATGCGTGAAACGTTGCATTTTCACGCCTGCTACAGGGGTAGGTTCTCTGCCGTTCCCAGCATGGTCCTGTCGCCATACTCCTGGAAGCCTGCTTTTAAACCTGCTCGGACCGGCTAGCATGTGGGGGTGGTATCTTTAGGGGGAAGGCGGGGGGGTACAAGACATGGAAGTTGGCGGTAAGGTTCCGTGATTCCGTCCTTGTGCTCTTGCTAAAGTGAAATCAAGAACCCTCACCCGATAAAAGACCAACACACTCAAGATGAGGTGGGTGGTTTTGAGGTGTAAGCTCAAAGCCCCTCGTTACCACCCCACAGTGAAAACTTCGGACGTATTTTCAAAGTACAGGTAGCAGGGGTAGGGTCTATGGAACATTTCCGGCGTGGTACCTACTCTCGACCCTACTTAGGTAGGCTATGTGGTGGGGGAACGTGCAAACACGGGGGTTGAGGTTGAAGATGGAGTGGGTAGGGTCACGTCCGGGGGTGGGGTTATTCCGCATCTCTTTTTGCAGTGAGAGAACCCTACCCCGTGAAAGCCGGGAAAAGCTGAGAATGGTGTTGGGTGGGGTAGGAGTGAGGGGCTAGCAGTCTACTTCCTCGTCACCTGCAAGATCTCCTCAACCTACATCACATGCCGAGGGTCAGGAAGAATACACACACAAACAAGGAGAAGAAGATCAATCGAGTGAGGTTTGACAGCTTCATGCGCCTATGGGAAACCATGTTTCGACTGCAGATCGTCAGGATTATTGAGGTGGACGAAAAAAACGAAGCTATCGTCATGGAGGCGAGGCAGCCCGAGTTCCACAATCGTTTGCTGGAAGCAGCCAAGGAAGACAAAGCCTGGTGGGGAATGAACCGCAAACAGCTCGATAAGATCAAAAGCTTCTCGAAGATCATGTACAAGTTCTTGGGCTCGTTATGCCTCCGGCCTGTTCCAAGAACAAGGCCCAACAGTGCGCAATCATTGGAGGACAAGCAGGACTTCTTGTGGTCGAGGCGTTGGAGGTTTCATGTCCAACGCAAGGAGCTTGAAGAGCATGACGATCTTCATGGCTTTCTTGCCCAGAAATGTCCTGATCACGTGCAGAGTCCGCTTCTTACTCCGAATGTCAAGAGTGCTGCCGTGGGCACGGACGGGAGCAGCAACCTCCATCAAGTCATGTCCGAGTCAGACGCTGTCTCTACACTACGGGACAGCGATGAGAGTGACACAGATGGAGGCATCTGCGCAGAGATGGAGGATCAATTCCATGACGCCGGCATGTTCCATGATGCCGGCATGTTCCCTGATGCCGGCATGTTCCATGACAATGCCGGCATGTTCCTTGCCACGGAACTTGAAGCGGCCTCACTCCCAGACTCGGAGCTCACCTTGAACGATGACGACGATATCTTCAACTTCAATGTATTGTGTATGTCTCCGGGGTCGTGACGGTAGTCCTTCAATTCGGCACTGATCGGACTCCCGGAGTCCGGTCCGGCCGGGCCGCGGAAGTCCCGGACTGGTACCCCGGCGTGGCCGCTGCACTCAGCGCGGCGGCGGGCAGACACCGTCACGCCGCGGCCGCGTCTGACTGCACTGCTGCAGACGCCGCCGACACGGCGCGGGCCGCGCGTCGGACCGTCGGACTGCACCGTCACTGGCACTCCAGGCTCCGGGCCCGGCGGAGGCCGCCGGTGACTCTACGGTGCGGCCGTCACCGAGTCGAAGGCGCGGCCCGCCCCGCCGCCCGGCCCGGGCCCGTTGCCGCGGCCGCGGCCGGGCGCGTGATAGTAGCCCGGGGCGCCCGGCGCAGCGGCGGGCCGGGCGGCGGGCCGGGCCCGGCGTCACAGGCTGAGCCTGAGTCACGGAGTCGGCACGTCGTCACAAGTACTCAGGCTGTCACAGTGTGACTCGCTCTCAACCTGGCCTAGGCTCCCGCCGGCGGCGCCGGAGTCCGTCCGCCGCGCCCGGGTTCACTGATTACTGAGCCGCGGCGGGCTCACCGTCACGGTGCCTAGTAGACTATGATTAAGTCCAGTCAGTCATGAAAAGTAAAACGCAATACTAGGCTAGGCTTTGTTTTTAACTTACTGCCAACCGTCAGTTCACAGAGTCACTGAGTCAAGTACCGTCGACTTCAGTAGGCCTGCCAAACGGCCCGTGACAGTCACAGGTACCACAACTTTCAAACATTCATCATCCCGCCCCCGGCCTCCCAAGTTTGAGGAGCGATCAGTGACCCGCTGCGTCAACGTCAGACGTATGCTCGACGTATGCGCCGTCGCCTTACCCAGTGTTATCGCTACACTGGTACACATCTTATGCCCCAGCATGGGCTATGCCATACGTTGCCGCTCCATTATTTCAAATGCGGCAGCGGCATCCGATGATCGAAAGCTACGCAGCCATGGAGCCAGGCCCGGAGAGCATGATGAGGTTCGAAGTTCGTCGATTCAAGTTCATGTGCATGTCCAAGCTCAACACATTGGAAGAGAGGACGATTGCATCATCCGTGTCCTCGCTAGCCGCCAAGTTGCGGGGGTGGAGAACTCGGGAGGTGAGCAGTGAGAATGGAAGAGCACGATGGACAGTTGAGAAAGGAGATCCAGGCTTGCCGGTGAGTGGTCAAAGCTTGCCCCAGTCACTGAGTCGCACCCTACAAAGTTTTCTCAGCCCCTCAACTGAGTCGTGGGAAACGTGGTGGAAGATGAGGGCGTGAAGAGATTTCTTCTACATCGAGGGATGAGGTGGAGGCTGGGAGATCTGAGGGGTGACTGTTAGGGACTGTATAAATCAGATTCTCCAGCTTCGGAATTTCCTGCGATTTTTCGAGGTTCAGTGGAGCAGTGAAGAGAGTTGGAGAGGAGGAAGAGGAGGAGAAGGTAGAGGAGAAGGCGGAGGAGGAGGAGATCCTGTTGTACGATCTTGCTGTTCACTTGGTCGAACTCACGGGACGGTGTTTGAGCGGAGGAATCAAGCTGAGCCTTCCGTGCTCTGACCTGCTGCTGCTGCCTGTTCTTGGGGACTTGTACTTCGATCACCTGACCTCCTGCAGCTCCTACAGGAAGCGCAAGCCGCAAGCAGCAGGAGAAAAGGCACGCCGAAGCTCCAACGACGTGAGCTCTTCTCCTCTGGGTCTGGTCATGCGTGACGGTTGTGTAGTTGTTGTACGATGAAATGTGAGAAGAGGAAGGGGGGGCTCACAACAAGCTCGTTGATGCCTGAGTGACAGTGAGGGGAAAAAGATGTCAGGAGAAGGCACGACGCACGACGCACGACGCACGACGCACGCGCACGATGCACGACGTAGGACGCAGGACGCAGGACGCAGGACGTAAAACGCAGGACGCAGGACGTAAAACGCAGGACGCAGGAGGGAGCGCAGGAGAAAGATTCGCCGGTCTCTCCTGTTTCTTCAACGGTCACAGGCTGCCAGTCACGGCTAAACTGTCGCCAGCAGTCCGGGTCAGTGAGCAGCCCGTGCAAGTCTGACGAACTCAGTTGTGTTCCCAGCCGGGCTAACGCCGGGTACGGACAAGTACAGGTCTGCTGGGGTGCGCTCGGCGTGTGTAGCGGGGAGACGTACAGGACTGAAGGGGCCGTAAGCCACTGCATCACACTGTACATCTCATCGTGACTGAGAGTCAGACACATGATCATTCAAAACGATATATGCCGCCCACTGTATTTCCTTGCTATCCGCCTCTCCCCTTCGCAGACATACTCAAAGAAGCGCATCTCCACCACCATTGTCTCCTACACAAACCATTGTCTCCAAGCAGCTCACTGTCATTACGACAACGACACAGCTCTCCCGGTTCGTCATCATGTCGTTGACATGAAGGTGGGATTTCATGCTGGAGGATTCTTTGTTCAGCATACAATTTCGTATGCTTTCTTGCGTGGTCTTTCGTGCCAATTTACTGAAAAACTGAGAGGCTGAGTCAATGCTTACTTCCGATACTCGACTCACCGTCCTCACTGAATCTTTTTGTCTTCCGATGACAGACCGCTCAAACGAGTCTGCCACTGGCTCAGAAGTTCTAGTGGCCCTGGATGGCGTCATGATCGTGGCCTCGCAGGCAGTGACGCAGGTCTGAACTTGGGTAATGAACAGCATTGAATCCGCCGATGATCAGCCCCGCCGGCTCAGCCGCTGAGCAATCGGAGCCTTCTGCCCGCGGCCCCGCAAGCTCAGCAAGAGCGGGCTGCCAGGCTCAGCCTGGAAAACTTGAGCCATGATTGACTCGCCTGGGTAGATTCCGAGCACCGTTTGGGGCCGTGTAAGCGCCATGACTCGACTCCGGCGATGTGACGGGAGTCAGGCCGTGTGACTTCAAGTGCCGTTCAGTGACGATCGGACGGGCCGGTTTTAACTATGATTTCAATCGATTCGTTCCGTTCTTGATTCGATTCCATCGCCAGTTCAATCCACCACCGAGGCGCCATGGCAGGTGCTGCAGCGTTACCCTTGAGTGATGTCCTCATTGTCGTGCATGACCATCTGAGGTCTTGTCCTTAAGATGATAGCAACTAGCTTGATTGCCTCGGCCCATCACGAGACATGCATCTCACGCTCTCTGCGGGTTACTGCTGATATTCAGAGGGGTCTGGCTTGCTTTTGAATGCTCCTTGCTGCAATGCATGGGATGAAAGTTGTTTGCTTTGTCCTCGTCTTTCCATGCGATTTCTCTTGGATCTTACCTGTATGTGATGAATTTCTGATGTATCCATCATTTATACAGTCTGGTTGGATGCCTATCATGATCCGATGGCGTCAATTCACACAACCCCTTCCTGTTTGAGATTGGTAACAGTTTAGTATTGCTTCCGTGTATTTACATCCTTCAGGTCGATGTCACGGGAAATGGAGACCCAAAGCTGATTGTCGCAGACCAAAACCAGAAGCTAAGGGTGTACAAAGGTCAATTTTTCTTTCAAGCAAGTCTGCATCCAACGAGCATTTGGTGACAGGGATCAACCTCATCTCCGAGCTTGCACTTCTTGATACACCATCAGCTATCTGTCCCTTCTATGCCGAACAGAAGGCTGGAGGAGGTTCTGAACGTATTCCTTCCATTGCAGTGGCGTGTGGACAGGTGAGCGACTGTGGGAAAGTGTTTGGCCATTAATTGACCTATTGGCAGTTTATCTTCATATACAAGAAATTGAGGCCAAATTTCAAGTTTGCTCTACCAGCTCCTCAAGTCAGCGAAGAAGAACTCAACGTCTGGGTGAGAATCAAAGTTTACAAGAGAGAGGCTGTTTGTGATGGACCTTTGAAGGCGAAGCTTCGCAGCAGGTCTATCGAAGCAGATGATGCTTGCCAGAAGGTCAGTCCTGCAAAGAGTTCATGAATGCATGCAAAGTGATGATCGATGGCCAGCTCGTTAGTCTTCAGGAGAACGGCACGAATCTTACGTATCAGTCATCTGATTTGCTCTCGAAAGAGACGCTTGAAGATCGGACACTCTTTATCGAACAGAATCAAAAGGTTCAACCAAGTGTCTCCTGTTGACAGCTGTCCTACTGATGGCGGAATCAGGTGCCAGCGCATTCCACCACGATAACGTGCATGGAAAGCATAAAGAAGAACAGCGATGATGAGACAGCCACGAGCTGCCTGGTGGTTGGAGCAGAGCACAAACAAGTCACTATTCTTGACGCAACAAATTTCTCAATCTTGATGAAGGTAATGAAAAATAACAAGGGTTGGAAATGACGTGCGCTGAAGGTGACGCTTCCGGCTGTCCCAGCATTTATCGGAGTTACAGGGCTGATGGATGTGGAATATCGACTTGCCGTGGCTGGGCGGGGAAATGTCGTGTACATGATCAAGAACGGGCAGCTCATGGCTACGACCATCGAGCTTGAGTCAAGCATTTGTGGTTTGATATGCAGTGGGAAAAGCATCATTGTAGCCGACGCACAAAATGTCATGTATTCCTTCCATTTCAAGGGGAAGAAGAACTACTCCATTCACATGCCAGCTCCGATACAAGCGTTGGAAACTATGCAGGTTGTAGAAGCGCCAATTGTGCAAATAGTGCTTGAGGTGACGGTTGTGGGCTGTTTGTGGACAGGTGGATAGCGTATCGAACAATGTTTTACAACTCGTCGCGCTTCAAAATGGCGAGATAAGGCTGTATCGCGAGAAGACATTAGTTTCGAGTATAACTTCGAACGATGTCGTGACTTGCATGCGATTCGGTAAGTATGCCAGGGAGGATTCAACGTTGCTTCTGGTTTACAAGGTTACGGATTTCGTAATCTTCTTTTCGCTGAAAAGATGAATACCAGAATGGAGGAATGGCTATCAAGATTCTATCAAGGAACAGTAATCTTAACAAGGTGAGACAGACTGGATTCTGCCACCACAAAACTAAGGCATACGCGTAGACAAGTAAGACAGGGGGTCCTCCGCCTGAACAAGACATTCCACTGAATGTCCCGAAGAAAACGAAACTCTACATCGAACAGACCCAGGCAAGAAGTTGTACCCTGGCATCTGAGAACTGAATCAAGGATTGCAGCGAGAAAAGCAGCAAGCGATTGATATGCATAGAATCTTTCAACGAGACCTGTGCAAGGTGAAATCGTGTTTGCATGGAAGACGACCTGACATGTACCTGTAGCTAAGATTGAATGCTGCTAGATCGTATGTGAAGATCCTAACAGATGGCAATGTAAGATCGGGTATGCTACGGTATTGCTGTCTCTAAATGTCGAAGCAGAAAACTTCTTCACATTCCATTACAGCATCCTTGAAGCTTAACGTCGAGGTTGGTATGGTTCTGTTTGTTTTTTGACATGATATCGGGATAAGGTTCAAGGCTTGGGACCATATTACAAATTGATTATGACGATCACCAACACGGGGACAAAAATCAACTCTGGTAACCCATCTTCATGTGGCAGAAATACGGTGCTGAGATCAACATGCAGATTGCAAGGTGATGATACGATATAATCCTGATCTGTACAAGATGCAAAGCTCGTTTCTTGATCTGCCACCATTGATGCCTGGACCGCAATATCGCTTCGAGGAGAAGGTGAGATGCGCCTTTGTGATGCATCAAGAAGGTGAGTAGACGGCAGATCATGTTCACAGAACGAGGAGGAGGATGCGAACCGGTGCACGTCTTTGTGAACCTCCAATCAAGGTATGAAGCGAAGCGATGGCAAGGACAAGATGGTAACATCAGTCCAGCATTGTACCTGTATTATCAGCTCAAGTGGAAATGCCATACTGCGATCCATTCGACGAGTGAGCAGCGGCAGAGGTAGCGGCACCGGCAGCGGCAGGAGGAGAGGTCTTGTACATGTACGTGATGGAGATCGGTGTGAGGAAGCGATAAGGAAGAGAATTTCGATGGATATGCAGATAGGAAAGATATCTTTATTCGATTGGTGTAATATACGCTAGTTTACACAAAGCCAGCCGGGCTTCTTGCTTGTAGAGGTCAATGGGGATGGGAATAGCCATCTCGTCCTGGCTCTCGTCCTCGTCGTCTGAGTGGGGGCAGTAGGAATGCAAAAAGAAAACGTTGGGAGAATCGTCTGACTGATAGAACTCCCTGAGGCATCGGGGTGTCGTGGTGGAGGAGTGCACCTCCTCGAGAAGGCCTTGGACTTCATTTTGCTTCTCTGCCATGTCTGGCTGTATGCTTCGATGCCCGCTGGATAACCTACCCCCTCTTATTAGCCTAGTGGGATGCCATGACTTTTCGCATCACCCACCCCTTGGATAAGATTATTGAACCCCCACCCCTCAATTCTTTTGATGTGATACCGTATACCTCTACTTTAGGAACCCCCCCTCCCCTGTCCAATCACCCCAATGAGCTCATCACCCCCATACGATCACCTCCCACCCTCCTTATTCCAATATGGGGGTGGCTGTCACCAATCTCAGAAAACGACAAACTAGCGACAAAGAAACAAAAATCTCTCAAGGTACCTACTACTACCCCGTCCTTTACGGTGTTTTGTGTCCCATGGTGGTTCTTCTTTTTTTGTCGTAAAAGATAAAAAAAAGAAACTTTCTTTGGTCAAACAAGTTCCACCCTACCCCCAGCAACAATGAACCCCCTGTGAACCATCGAAAGCAATCCCTCACCCACCTCATGCCCACAAGACCCCGACAAAATATCACCCCACCACCTGTAATTACCCCACCCTATGATAAATGGGGATGGAAGAGACAGAGGACCCCCCTTTTTTCCATACCACCCCTACCCCCTGTTCATCAAGGAGTCCTCGCGAGGTTTTTAAAACCGATTGAAAACAACATACGTACACTAGAGTTCTACGACAAAATCATATATACACTCTTTATAACTCATTCGATTACATATGGTAGTATTTTAGCTTGGGAGAATAATACTTGTTATCTTTTAAAATCCCGTGTGGCCCGAAGTTGGCCGCGGCGAGGTCCGATCAACAGTACGTAGTGCCTTTACTCAACCAATCGAGTAGCAACTGAGTTGGCCGGGCCGCCGCCTGCCAGTCCGGGCCGACGGGGCCGCGCCAATCACACGAGTCCGGCGCTGGACTTGAAGCCGCCGGCCGCGGCCGCGGCGGCCGCCGGGTCAGCTCCGCCTCCGGCGAGCGGCAGTAACCGGTCCGCTGCCGCTCCGTATCGAGTGCATCACTTTAGTAACTTGGCGGACTAGTTGGAACCTATTCCTCCTCTAGGATGTCTAGACCTCTCTTCTCACAAGTTGGCGCCTTTAGAGAACATCTGCCGGAAGTAATCGTTGTCTTTCTTCGGGGCTGCGCTCGCAGCATCCTCGGCCTTCTCGGCAGGAGCAGAGGGTGAGGGTTCAGTTGGCTTTGGCACAGGTTGATGCGCAGCCTGTTGAATCCTTCGAGCAGGACGAGCTGGTTCCTGAGGCCTCTTGACCGCGCGAGGGACCTGCAGCTGAGTCAGCCATACTTCACGCCATCCAGCTCTTGTCAACCAGATTCAGCGACGAACGAGGCGCTGATGGCGCAGCGGAACCAGAGTTGGCAGCCTTGCTCGAGGCAGCACGGCCGCGGGAGGGATCAGAGAAGGCCACCCGAAGCTTCTTACCCTGGCAGTCGAGCTGTCAGGATGGGGTGAACCCAGCAGCTCAAGTCCACCTGGAACACAGTCTGATCCATCTGCAGACTCAGCTCGGCACCAGCACGATCCTTGAACTGCACGTGACGGCATCAGAGAGCTCAGCTGGCAGAGCAGACGAGGCACCTCAACGTAGCAAAACCCCCGTAGATTGCCATCGCGATCTCTCATCAGTCTGACCTCGAGGACCTGGAGGAGAGGTCAACGAGGAGGGGGGGTTGGGGGTGGCAGGGGCTTCACCTCTGCGACCGTCGAGAAATGATCTTTGATCGACTCCTTGGAGACGTTCTTGGAGAGCCCGCTGACGTACAGAACCCTCTGGTCCACGTCTCGCTACAGCACGTGAGTGACAACCAAGACATCGGGAGGAGCCAAGGCCACCTGCTCGTTCAAGGAATGAAGCTCTCTCGCCTTTGAGACCTCAACCCTCCTTCCTTTCATCTCTGTTCCATCCTTCTCCTGCACCCACCGTCACTGACCCACCTCCTCTCCTCTTGATCTCAAAGGCCGACCAGGGCAATCTTGGCCGCCTGCTCGGTCTTGAAGTCTACGTAGGCGAATCCCTGCAAGATGGTTACTTTCTGGGAGCGACACGACATTCAGCAATGCTCATTCCTTGGAAGATCCGTGCTTGTCCATCACAATCCTTATGGCTGCGATTTCTTCTTCTAAAGATTTCCCTCCGTCACAACACTGAGCAAACAATTCTTTAATATCCTCGTCCTTAGCATCTTTGTCGGTAGTGTCAGGTCGAATCCAGACAAATATCAAAGCTTACCATGAGGCAAGTTCTGCATGAAGACTGTGTTGAGATTGCTCTCTCCACTGGAGGCCTGCTCTGGTTGTTGGCCTCCTCCATCAACTTTTTGTCGTTTCGCCTTTTCTTCGCTTTCCTTTCCACAAAGATTAAAATCAAAGGGAGGGGGCAACAAAATCATGCGCAACCTGATCCTTGGAATCTTCAGCCTGCTTTCGCTTCTTCGAGGCTGGTGCTTTCTTTTCCACCTTCGAAGAATTTTCCTTCCGTTCAGCCCATTTCTTCATAACCTGCAAAGATTCAGCAAGAAGCGGAATGACCTCAGGTAGACCTCTTCTCGCCGTTTGGCTCTTTCGGGGTCATCGCTTTTCTTCTCACGAGATTTCTTGGCTACTCTTCCCACCTTATCATCTGGCACCAGGCGTTTAAGAATGATCCAGCAATACTCAAAGCACTCAGGCATACCGACAGCTACTTGAGGATTTGTGACAGCGAACGTTGCATATTTCGCCCGCGCTTGACCGTAGGTTTCCAAATCTCCTTCTCTCCTCTCGAATTCCAACCACCTGCTCAAGCACTCGCTTGCATTCAAGACATGCTCAAGTGACGGACCTGTAGCACAACGACGCCAGCTCTGGAGCAGACTGAAGCGTGTTCAAACCTCGCTTGAAGAACGATCTCGCTTGACCGACCCTTCTGCTCGGGCTGTCGGTTGTCTCACGCACAGGGCAACGATTAGACCTGCAGGAGCGCAGGGCATCGACAACGGAGCACCAAAGCGATAAGTCTTGGCAGCCCTTGAGAACAGAATCCCACAACTAAATCTTCCTGTCAAAGAGGAAGATCTCGAGGACATCCGACAGACCTTGATGGCTTCGTCCAGGTCGGAGAACAGGAAAGCTTCTATCTCTGCCCAGTACCCCCGCAAATGTCGCGCTCCACTTTCATCTTTCACCTCCTGCAGATCCCATAGTGAAC